CATATATACCCCATCAGCGTCCTGATGGGTCCACTTAATCCCTATTGGTGTCCTAGATAGGTCCACTTAATCCCTACAGATCCACTTATACCTCACCGGCGTACCGAATGAGTCCACTTATTCCCTACCGACGTTCCAGATAGGTCCACTTATACCTCACCGGCGAACCGGATGAGTCCACTTGCATACTTAAATTATTTCTAAATCTCTTTAAACATTCGAAAGCAGCAATATCATGTACTCAACATATCACTGAAACCATTAATATGAATTTCACTTAAACCATTAATAACAGTCACTCTCTATAATATTTCAAAAATAACCAATCAAATATTTTGGGCTCAAATTTAGAAAGGTAGCAGTTTGTAAAGGCATTCTAGCATAATTGTCAATTTAATATGTATCGAAAAACTCTTATAAAAATTCATGAAAACGGAATTATCACAATTTATGGGATATCAATCCACAAATAAACATTTCACAACAATACTATAATCAATTGCAAAAATGTCAATTTTTTTAAATAATAAGGCAGTCATTTGCATATGAATTTTACAATGTCTAAATATTCAGAACGGTAGAAAGAAATATCACAATTTTACTAAAAGTAGAAATATCACATTTATTTCTAACAATAAACAAGAAAAATAAATAAATTTATTTTTCTAATTTACAGCATTCAAAATTTCTAACATAGATAAAATATCACAATTTTTATTAAAAAGATTATTTTTCAAGATAATGAGGTCACGTGCGCATAAAATTTATCGCGCCTAAAATTCATGATAATAAGCAGAAATAATTATTTTATTTTATTTTTAAAAAGAATAAATTATTTTTCGAGACAATGAGGTCACTTACACACAAAACTGATAAAATAAAGATCCTAGACGGAAATATCACTATTTATTAAAAATAAACTATTTTTCAAAAAGACGATGTCACTTACCCACAAATGTTTGAGAGGAAGCTTTCGATAAAAATTCGATTCGAGAGAGGAGTTCACTGTGTTTCGACTAGAGAGAGAGAGATCTCAAAATTTTGTTTTAGGGTGGGAGTACTCACATCTCCTATTTAAATTCTTATAACGTATTATTATATTATTTTATTACGCTCTACCTCATACCTGAGGTGTCGCGTTAAAAGTCTGCTTTTATCGTACGAAAACCACGTCCGCTAAAGGACGTTGCCAGCTACAAGCAGCAGGAGGCAAAAGCAGGCAAAAGAAAAAGTAAAGGCAAAGGTAAAATCTTTTGAAAATAGTGATGGTCCTCAAGGACCATCATACTCAAACAAAACATCACCTATTTAAAAGCATATTTTCTCCCTTTTTTTTTTTTTTTTTTTGAAATTTTAGGATTGTTACACTTACATCTCAATGATCTATGATTTGGGAATAAACTTACAATCTTTATGAATTGACAACCATTAAATTGCCATTGTTAAAATATTTGATTCTAGAATATCCGTCTCAGATTGTACACCTTCAAATGTCCTCGTATTCCTCTATCTCCAAATGTTCCATAAGGTACTAACTCACAACGATCTCCAAAACATAGTCCCAATCTAAGACAATCCATGATGCACCCATTGTTTGGGGATTCAAAATTTGCAAATTCAGCTGCCGCCTACACCAATTCTATAAATCTCGAGTGAAAGAACAATGTAAGATAATGTGATCCACACTTTCATTATCCCTTTGGCATAGGGGATATACATTAATTAAGATAATCCCCCTCTTCTTAAGATTATCAACAGTAGGCAATTTTTTTTGACATGCCACCCACATGAACTACTGGATCTTTAACGACACCTGCAACTTCCAAACTTTAGAGGAGTTTTGATCCAGGAGCCTACCATGATCATCATATAATAATCTGTATACTGATTTAACTGAGAACTCTCCCAAACTTTAGAGAGGTTTTGATCCAGGACCCTACAACGATCATCGTACCATAACCTGTACACTGATTTAACTGAGAACTCCCCCGACAGTGTAAGGTTCCAACCCCAAGCACTCGTCTTTGATTAAAAGTTATGCAGCATGTTCATGAGCACTAAAACTCATGAATGAATGGGTATGTGACTCTCTTGTGCCCGGCAAACAATGTTGAAATCTATTTTTTCTCCATATCTATACATCTGGATATCGGGATGATAAATTAGATATTTTTCGAGCACCAAAACAACTTTTTTCTAAGGATTTTAGACGTACACCTTAATTCTACCCTTTAAGTCTAACTTTATTTATTTTTTCATTTTCCACAACTTTATTTATTTTTTCATTTTCCAATGAAATCAAATATTTATCGTCCTGGAACTCGAAGATACATATCAAGCTATCGTTCTACTTAAAAGCTTTATCAAATCGCAACCGTCTAAACCCGCCCAAACAGCACGAGGTTTAATGCGCACAACAAGATATCTCCCTTCCCGTTCGAACCAGTCGAACGCCTACGATGCTATTGCAAGCGACTCCCCTTAAACATCGCGCAACTCCCTGGTTTTCATCACGCTTGACGAAGCATCTTCTGATTTGTTTCTTTTTTTTAAAAAGAAACTAAGCCTCTGCTGAAGTGGAGCCATGGCAGCTCTGAGCATCTTGTCATCGCCGCCTTATATGTATCGCTTCAATGAAGCTTTACAGTTTTCAAAGCCCAAGTATTTAAGCATTGGCAACTATGCTCAGTTGACTGAAAGAACGGCGGAGATCAGTAAGTTTTTTCTCTAATTTTTCTATGGAATTTCATTGAAATTCATTTTTTAGATGATTTATTTATTTGTTCTATAAAGTCCTGTCTAAATGTCAAAACGGGTCGGGATTTTTCCTCTTTTTCCCCTCAATTTATTCACTGTTTCTAAATAAGATGGCCGAAACTGGGAAGGATATGTTTTCTATTTGATTTATGTTGTATTTCTTCATCGGCGTGAAAAAAATTATGGATTTTTCAATAAGGACTTGTGTTTTTCCCTCGAATTTTTTATTTTTGGCATCTAATTCTTGGAAAATGGTAACTTTTTGTGACATTGTTTTGGTTTGATTTATATAATATTACTTCAAATTCTTGAATAAATGGCAAAAAATTCTCCAATACATTCCCTTGTTTTTCTTTGTTTTATTTTTTGTTTCCATTAAAAATGGAGTAAACTCGTAATGGTTTCCTTTGTCTTTTTGTTTACGCATTAGTCTTTTTCAATCTTTAATTCCACTAAATTTTATCTGACTAAATGTTTCATTCTTTACTTTTGCACTTATTCCTGTCTCTGTAAATTATGTGTAATTTCATTATATTCCTCTGATATATGTATTGTTTCCCTTATACTTGTGATTTGTCTGTAATCTAATCAGCATCATGAATTTTCTAAATTTATGGATGGATATCCTGTATTTTCCTTTGGTTTATGCACTATTTCCAATAATCTCTTATTTATTATTATGGTTTGTCATTAATCATCGTTAAGGGGAGATCCAGGAAATATACATGCAGAAAAATAGAAAATTAAGTGATTGTCAATCATATGGTGAACCTATCTAGACTGATTATGCATGTAACAAATGGTACAACCTATTTCTCGCTCATTTCGTTTTATGGATTGGTGTCGTTTTTGTGCTCTTTTACCAGCTAAATGATCCTCTCTACCTGTTGTGTAGATCTGAATGCATCTAACAATACAGATTGTACATGCTGTCATGTAGGCCTTCTATGAAATGGCCTATAGCATGAGCTGCAGTTAAATACAAGTTTTAAAATCTCTCCAGAAAATACAAATAAGCATTAGAAGAGAGTAAAGTTGTTGCTATATCTGAACCTTAATGTACCTGATTGAGCTAGTTGTTTTATATCTTTACTGCCCAGTATGTTGAGAAGGTGATCTATCTTGTTATTTAGCGTAACATTCAAATAGATTATGAAGAAGCTATTGAACTTACAGAATGTAATTGTGTATTCAAATGGAAGATACAATCTTTTCTCATACTTTTACTAAATACTTGTTTCTGATTATCATTATGAATTCATGAAAGGGAAAAGTTTATTCACAGGCACGCACATACCCACACTCACACGCCACATATGTAATACATAGATACATACATACATTCATACCTACATGCACACATACATATGCAGGCATTTGTGCATTATTTTGTGTGTCATTTCTTATAATTTCCTTATTAATATCACTGTAGTCAGAGAAACAGCTCTTTTGTATTGCCATTGGTCCATGATATTTGATGTATATGGTCCACGATACATACATGCATGTGTATGTGTGTATTATTTTATGTCTTTCATTTCTTATAATTTCCTTTGTAATATCATATGTAGCTCTATAGCATCTTTTTTGTATTGTCATTGGTCAAAGATATCTGATGTATATTGTAGTTGCCTACTTTGTCTTCCTTTTTGCAAGATATGAGTCATAGTGAAATTTTGTTGGAGAAGTTATTCATGCATTTTGGCCTTTTTTTATAGGTTTTTCTCATTCAACCCTGGGGTGTTCTTATCTTGATGGATGTCCTGCACAAAGTAGTTTAAAAACGAATGGTACAAGAAGATTGGGTATATGTCAATCTGCATTTCGTTCATCACCAGCAATGGTTTCCTCTGTTGAAGGACTTTATGATTTCATATGTGAAGGCTCCATAGTAAAGAAAATGGGTTTAACTAAAGAAAAGGTGGCCTCAAATATAGATAGATGGCTAGAGTGTGGGGTTCAGTTATGCAGATTGCTTGGCTTGAATCAGCTCGTTTTGTCAGAAGCTGAGAAGATTAGGATCTATCAGTATTATATACCAGTTTTTCTCTGGTGCGAGGAAGAGTTGTCAAAGCACATGTCATCATTTAAAGATGGAGATGAGATAAGTCCTCTAGTGGTATGCTCTATTCTATTTCTTCTACTGTTTTGCTTTAAGTTTGAAAGTGATATGATATAATAGGGAAGATGGAGATGAGATAAGTCCTTTAGTGGTATGCTCTATTCTGAGGAGGGAGGGAGGGAGGGGGAGAAGGAATGTCATATTTTGTCCAATTGGCTTGTTATGTATTGTATTAAGTATTTTATTGGCGATCATTTGTATTTGTGATTAAAACTTTTCTCTTAAAAGTTTCTAGTTATCTCAGAATTACTCATCAAGCCAACTTTTGCAATGATCCCTCTTGTCTTACCATGCATCCCCTGATCCTAATATCCAGAACTATTCCATGCAACCCCTCATCTGTGATAGGGTAAAGCTTTCTTTTGGTTTGCTCTCTAAAGGGAAAATTCCTACGATCTTTTAATGGAAGAGGAGAAGATTGTGGTTTGTGATGTTACATTGCAGGCTGTCGCTTTACTAGAACTACCCTTCTTGAACTCTGAAATGTTACCTCTGTTATGCGTGCTCTCTCTCTTGCGCGCGCACACACACACACTCTATTTCCATCCAGTATGCCAAATGTAACTCAAGAATTTAGTGTTCAGATTGGTGTTAGTGCTCCTCAAGGTAGTGGAAAGACCACTCTTGTTTTTGTTCTGGACTATCTTTTCAGAACTTCAGGCAGGTATGGTGGGAAGCTTGTCTATCCATTTATTGAAGTTTCACCCACAGTTAGCTTGTTCCTTCATTTTTATCACGTCTACGTTGTCCAGGAACTCTGCAACATTGTCTATAGATGACTTCTATTTGAAGGCAGAGGATCAGGTACGTATACTTGATAACTGTGGTACTGTGATGACCTTATGTTCCTTCTTTATGTTCCTTCTTTATTTTTTTGATTGATGATTAAGTTGCACTTCAACTGCAGGCAAATCTTAGGAATGCAAATCCAGGAAACGATCTCTTGGAGGTATGGGAAACTTGTAATTTTCTGTATGGGAACTGAGGTGTTGAAATTGGCGAACAAAATATTCATCTTTATTTGATTTTCAATGAAGTGAGAAACCTTAGACCAATGTTCTGAAGTAATGATTTGTTATGTTTTCAGCTACGAGGAAATGCAGGAAGCCATGATCTTGCATTCTCAATTGAGATATTGAAGGCTGTATGCAGTTTGAACAAAGAAGGTATAATGTGCGTCTGCGAGTGTGTGTGCTCCTCTGATAAATTTTTAGTTATTTGTGGGATGTCAAATCAGAGAAAGGAATAAATGCTACATGATTTGAGATGATGTATTCTTAAGGACAAGAAAGATCCTAGCCTGACCACCAACATGCAGAATGAAGGATTGGCTTGAACATGCATAACTGTGGTGCTATGAATTGGAATATGACAAACCTAACACCATAAATGACCTCAAAACTTTTAAACATCATTGTCAAAAAGAACTTCTAAAAAGTTTTTTCCCAAGTTGAAGTGGGCTGGTGATTTTGAGATTTGGGATTTCCTACCACTGAAGGGGTTTAAGGCTATCTTTCTTTTATTTCCTTTGATATTCCTCCTTGGCCAAGTTTCTCTTCCATTTTGCATTACCAGATTATACACTAAATGTCAATCTCCTATCAAAAGAAAGAAAATCCATATGTCTACAACCATCATGCCACAAAGATCAAATATTTAGTGTTGTAGTTTGACTCCCTATTTTTATGAGAGTATGGTTTGATTAATATTTAATGTGCAACGTCGGCATAGAACAAACCCTATTAGGATGGGTGATTTGATTTAAGTGGAAGGCTCTAAAACGGCTAGGGGATGGCCTAAAAAGGACATGAATGGAAGTAGTGAGGAAAGATATGGTGACTGATAGTTTGGTTAAGGTTATGGGCCTTGATCGAATGAGTGGAGGAACTAGACTCATGTAGCTGATCCCAAATAGTTGGGATGACGTTTGGATGATAATGATGATGATGTTTAACTAAAATCTAGAGAGCACCAGGTGCAGACATCTCCCAATTTCATTCTATGTGGATGACAAATACCTAGGTATGCAACATAAATGTGAGAGTGGGAGGAAGTGCAATGTGGCAATGAATGGATCATTTGTCAGAGCAAATTATGCTTCCCAACTTATGTGAAATCCTTACTTAGATTTTGTAGGGAACCACTTAAAAGTGGTAGGATGGCATGGAGAAAGGTAGAATCAAGATGAAAGTTGTGGTCCAAAACTCCAAGATCAACAACCAACTGTGTGGATAGGCCCACATGGTGGGGTTGCATTGTGAGGACAAAATTCAAGTGTACCACCCCCAACACAAGATCTAATGCCTAGTTCAATATGGGAATTGGTTTTGGCCCTCATTGGGGGCTTATCTGGCTTCTATAGGTCATAAATTCTATTGAAACTAAGCAAGCACATAAACCTGATAAGTCCAACGAATAAGAAATGGAATGCAATTTTATTTGAAAAACTTATATTATTGTTGAAGAAGGATTTCTCTCACTTGAAGTACTTGCTTGGTCTAAAATACATCTAGGAGTATAATATGATAATCCTTTCACAGTCGTGCAGGCCTAGTAGCTTGGGCTAGGGTTCAGCAAAGAAGAAGATAGGGAAGATCCAAAACTAGAGAAAGATGCAAAAAAATTGAGATAAAAGAAGGAGCACTTGTTGCTGTAGGATTTTAAATAAAAGTCCATATCATGATCATCCATTACGCTTGAGTAAATCCCATATGTAAGAGAACCCTAAACAAGACTTAATCCTGACCATCCATCTAATATAATCATGGCCCTTTATTATAAAAAATTTAAGTGAATAAAAAGACATAAAGGACTTAAGAAATTACTGCTTATGCCCCTAAGTGAATAAAAAGGACTCAATAATTAAATAAAAGACAAAAAAAGATAGACTAAATGACTAATTTGCGCTTCTACGGTTCCTATTGTAAACGTTAAGCTTGTCCCTCTTATTTAGATACTCCAGAGCAGTACTTTAGGTTGTATTAGTCCCCCCTCCTCAGAACTTACCCTCGAGTTTGGGGTGGCTCGTCTGTCTGAGGTATCACCATTATATGGAATGAGATGCCTGACATTAAAAACATCGGAAGTGTGAATATGGCTCGAAAGATTCAATTTGTAGGCATTGTCATTAATCTTTTGCACCACTTCACACCAATCTTGTGCTAGCTCAACTTATGATATTTAGAACAACTTGTTCGAGAACCATGAACAAGCATAGGATGGAAGAGTCTTGGATCACTTCTAATCATACGTTCTCAGAGATATCCATTCAAAATAACTTTGTAGGAAATCTCACCTCTATGATTTGAAAGATTTGTTAAAATAGTAATTTGTCCCTCTCTCTAGAACACTCTCTAGTCACCGCCATCTCCTCTCTCTCTAGAGGCTTCTATTAACCGCCTCTCTAGAAAACTCTCTCACCGCCTTTATCTCTATCTTTTCACTCTCTTTCTCTAGAAAGGCGGTAGTAGTAGGGTGGTGATAAGCTCTATAAAAAGGGGCTGTGTATGAGAAAAACAGATGAAGAAAGAGAAAAAGGTTAGATATCCAAAGAGTGTTGAGGAAAAGAGGGTCAGACTTTGTGGTCCATCAATTCATATTGTATCCATGTTCCTTTTTGAAATAGTGAAATATTTGTGAAAAAATATTGCTTCCTCTTCACCCCTATCATCATTCTTTCCTATTTTTCAATTAAATTATCATATCCACGCTTCCCAAATTCTCAACATTTAATATCAGAGCTATATCCCTGTGTTTTTTGAAAAACCCATTCCTTATGGCCTCCACTTCGGGAATGAATTATACCCAAAGCCTAATTCCTATTTTAGATGGAGAAGATTACGAGTCATGGAGTCTCCAAATGAAGACTCTTTTTATCTCGCAAGATTTGTTGGACATTGTGGAAGAAGGCTACTCAGTGCCAGAAAGCGTAGCAGCATTGGAATCATGGTCGCAGGCAAAGCATAACGAGTACAAGGAAAATAAGAGGAGAGATGCAAAAGCCCTACTCTTCATCCAACAAGCGGTAAGTAAAGCTATCTTTCCTCGAATAAAAAATAGCTTCAAAATCAAAAGAAGCATGGGAAATTTTGACAAATGAATTTCAAGGATCTGAAAAAATAATTTCTATCAAGCTCCAAAATTTATGGAGAGATTTTGATAATTTGATGATGAAAGATGGTGAAACAGTTCATAATTTCTTCACTAGAGTTACATGAATAATAAATCGGATTAGATGTTGTGGGGAAGATATTTTTGATAAAAAAATAGTGATAAATTTTTTAAGAAGCCTACCTGCAAAATTTGACCATGTTGTGGCTGTTATAGAAGAATCAAAAGATTTGTCTAAACTATCTTTACAAGAATTAAGTGGGTCTTTGGAAGCACATGAGCAAAGGATAAATAGATTTTCAAATCAGAATATGGAACAAGCTTTTCAGTCAAAGGTTACAATTTCTGAAAAGAAAAATTTTGAAGAAAAAAGAGATAGGGGGACATTTCAAAATTATCAAAGAGCTCATGGAAGACAATTTTTCAAGAGATCAAGAAAAAGGAAGAGGAAGAAATATAAACAACCAGAGAAATTCAGATCAGAAAAATAGATCTGAATCATGTTGTATTATTTGTAAAAAATCAAGGCATGAATCAAAGAATTGCCGATATAAATGTCAAAAATGCAAAATCCCAAATCATTCTCAAAGGGATTGCTGGTTTCAAAAGAAAAATCAAATTTTAGAAAAATGAAGTAAATTTTTCTGAAGATAATAATACAAGTCATATGTTCTATTCATGCATGAATGCCCAACAAAATTCACAAGATGTTTGGTACCTGGATAGTGGATATATAAATCACATGACAGGAAATAAGAGCAATTTTGTTGAAATAAATGAAAAAGTCACTTCACAAGTCAACTACGAGATGGAAAACTCCGTAATGTTGAAGGAAAAGGCATAATTGCTGTAAAACCTAAAGGAGGTTGCCCTAAATTCATTCATGATGTTCTTTATGTTCCTGGTTTGATACAAAATCTTTTAAGTATTGGGCAAATGATGAAAAATGGGTATTCAATCAATTTTAATAGAGATGAATGTATAATCTTTGATAAGAAAATTAGTCACACCATAGCCCGAGTAAAAAGGACCCCAAATAAGGTATTTCCTATGGTCATGCCAACATGTGAAAATTATGCTCTGAGTTCTGAAAATGTTGATAAGTCCTACCTATGGCATCTAAGATTTGGGCACTTAAATTTTCAAAGTTTAAGTTTGATCGGCCAGAAAAGTATGGTAATTGGATTACCACCAATAAATGAAGAAAAGAAAATATGTGAAGACTGTATTTATGGAAAACTATACAAATTACCATTTTCATAATCAACTTGGAGAGCTAGAGGTCCATTGGAATTGGTTCATGCTGATATTTGTGGCTGATATTTGTGGACCAACTCAAATAGAAACCTGTAATAAAAAAAGGTATTTTCTCTTAATTGTTGGTGATTACAGCAGGATGATGTGGGTATATTTCTTGACCAAAAAATCAGAAGCATTGTCAGTTTTTACTCAGTTTAAAACTGATGTAGAAAAACATAGTGGTTTCCCATTAAAAGCCTCGAGGACAGATAGATGAGGAGAATTCACTTCAACATAATTTTGGAATTTTTGCAAAAAGAATGGAATTAGAAGAGAGTTGACAACAACATATACTCCACAACAAAATGGAGTAGTAGAAAGAAGAAATAGGACAATAGTTGAAATGGCCCGAAGTATGTTAAAGGGTAAGCATCTTCCCAATAAATTTTGCGCTGAAGCTGTTTATACTGCTGTATATATTCTTAATAGGTCTCCTACTAAATCTCTTCAAAATAAAACACCTTTTGAGGCCTGGTATAAAGAAAACCAAATGTAAGTTATTTCAAGGTATTTGGCTGTATTGCTTATGGAAAAAGAACTTCCCAAATTATAGAAAAATTTGATGAAAAAGGCGAAAAATATATCTTTATTGGATATAGTGAAGTTTCAAAAGCATATCACCTTTTTAATCCAAAAACAAATAAATCAGTAATTTCTAAAGATGTTGTATTTGATGAGAAAAGTGAAATGGAAATGGAAAGAAATATCTGGCCAAGAACCAATAGCAATATTAAAAGAAGAAAGAAATACTCCGCAA